GACAAAAGTGGCAAGCCTCATTTGTCTTTCTGTCCAAAGCCACTGGCCATGTATTCTATTTATCCAGTAACATTGATTGAAAACCAGACAATCAGAAGTTAAACAGTGTTGTTGTTCAGCCTTTGTTACCGGACATTGATGTTACGCTGAATTTTGCCTGATGACGTTCCAAACTTAACGAATATCACAGCGATTTCATGAATGTTGGTAAATGACCTTGTTCATTACAACATATAAAATCGCTAAACTTGTTTGTTAATATTATTGTTAAAAGTAATTTTAAAGTAATTTCAGAAAGTAATTCTGTTGTATTAATGCATGTGAAAAAATACAGCTGTTTTCCTTCACTGCCAAATACAGAAAAAAATATATGTGGCAAGTATATTATGACAATGGTGGTACTAGTTGCAGGATAAAATGATATTCCTTGTAATATCATAAAGTTATTCAATAACAGTAAAAGCTGATCTGTAACCACAAACATACGTCCAGAGATGTATTGCTGAGTGACAATCCTTTATTGTATATTTACCACTAATTTCATTTCACCCACGGTTTCAGTTGCTTAAGTTTGTATAGAATGATATATATAATTTAGTTAAAGCAAAATATATTACTGTCAATCAGAGGTATCATGAAAAAATCAGGATCATATGAAAACTAAAACCATGGCCAAAACACTTTAAGCTTCTGATAAAACTCTTCAATATTGCCCAGTGTATAATTTGTACTCAAATATACCAAATAAATAAACATCAAACTTCAGCCTGCATTTATTTTTGTTTTATTGGCAAAACAGGAACTGAACAAGTGTTAAATTGTAATGAAAGGTTCCCTATAAACAGCATGTACTTACATTTGCACGATTTCTGATGATAATAAATTACTGCCACATGCAATAATGTTTGTTTTTGTGCATCTATGGTTGAAAACCAAGCAGCAAACCGTTTTATGGCCATGGTATTACTGATATTGAATTCTATTGGGTTTATAATCAGGAACACAACACAAACTAGGCAGAAACCTAACAGACATTAAATTTTATTTTGTTATCAACAATTGTAGAAAAAAAAAATGATTTGGAAACAGTTGTCTTGGAAGTGATCAAGTCATCCTGGAATAAAACAACTTGGTAACAGTTGTCAGGGTAGTGATCAGGTTGTCCTAGAATAAAACGACTTGGTAACAGTTGTCAGGGTAGTGATCAAGTCGTCCTAGAATAAAACGACTTGGTAACAGTTGTCAGGGTAGTGATCAGGTTGTCCTAGAATAAAACGACTTGGTAACAGTTGTCAGGGTAGTGATCAGGTCGTCCTAGAATAAAACGCCTTGGTAACAGTTGTCAGGGTAGTGATCAGGTCGTCCTAGAATAAAACGACTTGGTAACAGTTGTCAGGGTAGTGATCAGGTCGTCCTAGAATAAAACGACTTGGTAACAGTTGTCAGGGTAGTGATCAGGTCGTCCTAGAATAAAACGCCTTGGTAACAGTTGTCAGGGTAGTGATCAGGTCGTCCTAGAATAAAACAACTTGGTAACAGTTGTCAGGGTAGTGATCAGGTCGTCCTAGAATAAAACGACTTGGTAACAGTTGTCAGGGTAGTGATCAAATCGTCCTAGAATAAAACGACTTGGTAACAGTTGTCAGGTTAGTGACTTGGTAACAGTTGTCAGGGTAGTGATCAAGTCGTCCTAGAATAAAACGACTTGGTAACAGTTGTCAGGGTAGTGATCAAGTCGTCCTAGAATAAAACGACTTGGTAACAGTTGTCAGGGTAGTGATCAGGTCGTCCTAGAATAAAACGACTTGGTAACAGTTGTCAGGGTAGTGATCAGGTCGTCCTAGAATAAAACGACTTGGTAACAGTTGTCAGGGTAGTGATCAGGTCGTCCTAGAATAAAACGACTTGGTAACAGTTGTCAGGTTAGTGACTTGGTAACAGTTGTCAGGTTAGTGATCAAGTCGTCCTAGAATAAAACGACTTGGTAACAGTTGTCAGGGTAGTGATCAAGTCGTCCTAGAATAAAACGACTTGGTAACAGTTGTCAGGGTAGTGATCAGGTCGTCCTAGAATAAAACGACTTGGTAACAGTTGTCAGGGTAGTGATCAGGTCGTCCTAGAATAAAACGACTTGGTAACAGTTGTCAGGGTAGTGATCAGGTCGTCCTAGAATAAAACGACTTGGTAACAGTTGTCAGGGTAGTGATCAGGTCGTCCTAGAATAAAACGACTTGGTAACAGTTGTCAGGGTAGTGATCAGGTCGTCCTAGAATAAAACGACTTGGTAACAGTTGTCAGGTTAGTGACTTGGTAACAGTTGTCAGGGTAGTGATCAGGTCGTCCTAGAATAAAACGACTTGGTAACAGTTGTCAGGGTAGTGATCAGGTCGTCCTAGAATAAAACGACTTGGTAACAGTTGTCAGGGTAGTGATCAAGTCGTCCTAGAATAAAACGACTTGGTAACAGTTGTCAGGGTAGTGATCAAGTCGTCCTAGAATAAAATGACTTGGTAACAGTTGTCAGGGTAGTGATCAAATCGTCCTAGAATAAAACGACTTGGTAACAGTTGTCAGGTTAGTGATCAAGTCGTCCTAGAATAAAACGACTTGGTAACAGTTGTCAGGGTAGTGATCAAATAAAACGACTTGGTAACTGTTGTCAGGGTAGTGATAAAACGCCTTGGTAACAGTTTGTCAGGGTAGTGATCAAATCGTCCTAGAATAAAACGACTTGGTAACAGTTGTCAGGGTAGTGATCAAATCGTCCTAGAATAAAACGACTTGGTAACAGTTGTCAGGGTAGTGATCAGGTCGTCCTAGAATAAAACGACTTGGTAACAGTTGTCAGGGTAGTGATCAGGTCGTCCTAGAATAAAACGACTTGGTAACAGTTGTCAGGGTAGTGATCAAGTCGTCCTAGAATAAAACGACTTGGTAACAGTTGTCAGGGTAGTGATCAGGTCGTCCTAGAATAAAACGACTTGGTAACAGTTGTCAGGGTAGTGATCAGGTCGTCCTAGAATAAAACGACTTGGTAACAGTTGTTAGGGAAGTGATCTGGTCGTCTGTAAATAAAATGACTTGGTTTCAGTTGTCAGCATTGTGATCTGGTCGTCCTAGAATAAAACGACTTGGTAACAGTTGTCAGGGTAGTGATCTGGTCGTCCTAGAATAAAACGACTTGGTAACTGTTGTCAGGTTAGTGATCAAATCGTCCTAGAATAAAATGATGTGGATGGCGATCAAGACGTTGATGCAGATGGTATCTATAGGACCCAGGTGTGATATTTATAAAATGATTTCAGTTTGTTGAGAATGAATATTAGGAATTGACACTGCAGGTAAAATTCTTTTGGATTGAAGTCATCTGGTGTAACAGAGGCATAACTTAAGTGATGTTTTAACTGATGTCGTAGGTGTTATATTGGCTGTTAAACATCTAATGATGTAACATAATATACAAATCAATGGTATAAATATGACTCGCTGTTAGGCTGTCTAACAACTGATGGAGATCACTCCCCAATAAAAACCTAACTCTCACGATAAAATGTGTCACCTTCAAAGGACTTTTAGTATTTCTGTTGGTCCCAACAGTGGTTTAAATCTTGTATTTTGTTAGAGCTCTGTAGAGCACAGCACCAGTAACTATACCATAAAATTGTAAAGTAGGTTTCAACACATTGGTTACATGACAAATTCTTGATAGGATATTTATCACTGAAAGGGTAATAGGGAGAGAAATTGTGCTTCCGTTGGTGTTTTTACAAATATGAAGATTTTCATAAAATAAGATGAAAGTTAGTGTTTCAACTGATCGTGAATAATTTCAGAAATGTAAAATGAAGAACTGATAACAAGTTTTACAAAAATACATAGCTGTTGATGGCAAGCATGTGACTAACGTTTTAGAATTAACCTAAAAAGTCATTTAGCTTATTTCATGATACCTCTGACACTTTTATGTAAAAGCTATTTCCTTCAGATGTGTCACAGTAAAACACTTCTTGTGATAAAAGTAAAAGAGATTCAACTATTTCAAATTTAAGCACTGGTATAGTATGCTGTGAGACAGAATGAAGAAATTTAAAGAGACAGGAATATGATACAGAGGTTAAATGTAAAGAGACGGGAATATGATACAGAGGTTAAATGTAAAGAGACGGGAATATGATACAGAGGTTAAATGTAAAGAGACGGGAATATGATACAGAGGTTAAATGTAAAGAGACGGGAATATGATACAGAGGTTAAATGTATGATACAGAGGTTAAATGTAAAGAGACGGGAATATGATACAGAGGTTAAATGTAAAGAGACGGGAATATGATACAGAGGTTAAATGTAAAGAGACGGGAATATGATACAGAGGTTAAATGTAAAGAGACGGGAATATGATACAGAGGTTAAATGTAAAGAGACGGGAATATGATACAGAGGTTAAATGTAAAGAGACGGAGGTTAATATGATACAGAGGTTAAATGTAAAGAGACGGGAATATGATACAGAGGTTAAATGTAAAGAGACGGGAATATGATACAGAGGTTAAATGTAAAGAGACGGGAATATGATACAGAGGTTAAATGTAAAGAGACGGGAATATGATACAGAGGTTAAATGTAAAGAGACGGGAATATGATACAGAGGTTAAATGTAAAGAGACGGGAATATGATACAGAGGTTAAATGTAAAGAGACGGGAATATGATACAGAGGTTAAATTCTAGTCCTGTCAAATTTTAACTCGCCACTTTACATTGTTTCTGTCGAGAATTGTAAACATGTTGTCAAGGGAAGTAACTCTAATCTACAGAGAAATAACTGCTTGATTTATATTGTGTGTATCACTGTAGTAGAAAATACATTAAGTTTAACAGCTGTCCTGTTGTATTATGATAGTTGTGTGCCTATTATTCAGCTATATCATTGATATCAGTTTTTTTTTATATCTATATTAGACACTGTATACCTATAATAGGTAATCTTGTTTCTATTTTCAGGGTAAAAGCAGGACAGGCTTTTTCAAACAAGCCAAGAAGGCATATCCCATGTTTCCTTACACAGAGGAGAAGATAAAGTGGGACGAATATGGAGAAATTATTAGGTATGGTAATACATCAATGAGGCAAATATGATCACTTCAACACAGAGGCAAATATGATCACTTCAACACAAAGTCAAATATGATCACTTCAACACAGAGGCAAATATGTATTCAGTGTTTAGATGCATCAATTTCTGTTAAAGATTTAAGGGAGACAGAAAAAATTCAAAGCTGGAAAAAAAGGCTTTCATGGTTGAGTTTTATGAAGTAAATTTGTACAATTCTTTGGTAGGAAACTGTCTTTAATCAAACAAATTATTTATAAAAAAAAAAAAAAAAGGGAATGTGTCAGTTATATACTGGGGCATAGCGGATTAGGTTCGATGTCATGTGTACCAAAAGTAAGCCATCATGTTTTCATCTCAAATACAGTGTTATTCTCTACAATGCATCACAAATTCACATTTAAGGAACATATTGTACTGTCTGTTCTGACACTTTGTATGGGAGGTCATTTGTCTGCCTGTATACCCTGGTTTCAGTCTGATGAATGAGGATGTCTGACTGGGCTCCTACAATGATGGATACCAACACATGCCTACATTGGATTTTGTGTCACAGCCTCTCCCCTCCACAGGGAGCCATATGTCTTAGATTTCAAAATATAGATAGATTCACTAAGATGGCCTGGTTTTAATAAGTCAAAGTTTCATTGTATTTGTAGTTTAACTGTTGACTTGTTTTAGATTTAAATTCTTAAAAAAATTTCCCATTATCATTGGTAGAAGATTTTTAAATCTGATAGTTTATTAATGGTTTCTTGAATAATTCCTGATCTCTGTAAAATTTTCTCAAGGAGAAAAGGAAGAAAAATGAAAAAAAAAATCAAGTTATTTCATAAACAGGAGTTTATGTTTCCAAAATTGATAATTTTTAGCATATATGGCCCAAAAGGCCAAGTGAGTTTTTTTGTGGTATTTCATGCATGTCGGTCAGGCATCAACTATTTTTTGCATTACAATGACTTATTCTCAACAGCCAACAGACCAAATCTAGCAATATTTGGCTGGTGGAATGTTGGGATATCAATGAAGCGCCCAAAAGTTTTGCGAAAAGAAATTACCTTGACCTTTATTCAAGGTCACAGTAGTCAAATTTGTTAAAACTTCAAATCATCTTCATCTGAATACCTAAAAGATGGTTGGCTGATAGGCTTTTAGGAAGAAGCTCGACGATGTTCAGAAATTGCCTTGACCCTTATGCAAGGTCACAGAGGTTCAATTTGCCAAAACCTTTAAACAGCTTCTTCTGACTAACTAAATAGACCAAAAGCATGATATTTTGCTGGTAGATCTCTGGGATGAAGCCAGACAATGTTTGTTAGAAACGAATAACTATGAACCATGTTCAAGGCCACAAGGATCAAATTGCTAAAACCTGTTCAAAACTTTTACTGGTAAATCTGGGAAGCAGGATATTTGGTGGAAAGGTGTTTCTACGTCTAAAACTCAACAACAAATTTTGAGAAAAAAGGAATTGACATTTACCTATAATCTGTGTTATAACTGTTAATGTTTAGAACTGAATATTAGAAGCTGTTTGTTGTGGAATATGCCCACTTTGAATGCCATTGATGTACATAATGATGTATTGTGATGATCAGTTATTTTTCTGATGAACATTGAATACCAGGCCCATTGGGCCTCTTGTTGGTAATTCTGACAAATGTGTCTGAATGTAGGCCTCATTGGAAGATATACATGACAAACATCAATAATACAGCTGTAGTAATGAAATAGTTATGTTAACACTTCAATATGACTCCAGTCTCCTTGTCATGTTGTGTGAAGATAATGATTGGTTCATGTACAAACCTTCATCTTCTGTACAGTATTTTGACAGAAGACACATCTCATCCATGTTAATAGATACGGGTATTTGTGTAGAAACAGGGATTATATGGCCTCACCACTAAGTCACATTCTTAAGATAAAGATACGGGCTGATGTTTGTACTAAGGTATTTACTGCTGGTGATGAGCTCTGCTTTAACCAACCAGCAAATCACAAAGGGGGAAAAAGTACACAGCCTCCGAATCAGGAACGACTCTAGTGACAAGTTAACAGTAGTTTGATCAAAGACAATTGTGGAATAGACATGCTTTAGCTCTGATCACAAAACACCCTTCAATTTCACTAATTTTGATTTGATAGACTTGCTCTACACGGCAACTACATTACAATGAAATGATAGTGTCAAATCAATGGCCATATATTCTGTAAACTAAAGAACATGGAGGCAGGTGGTTTAATATCCAATTGTATATACCAGTAATGTATTGTATCACATTGAAATAGGTATCAAAGATTAGATAGAAAGGTTAATATTCTAAAGCAATTTTTATCCCTATCATTTCACCTGTAAAAATGAAGATAAAGATATTGCCTGCAGCCTTGTATAACTGAATTGATACCTATTCTGGGATTCTACATCAGAAACAAAAGCACACAAATAATGATATATACTTCTCAAGATCAAATGGTATACATTCTGTAATGTTGAACAATAAAACAAACAAAAGCATGGAAACATTCATGTATGCTTTTGTTGCGTCTTTGAACCTGAGCGAAAACTAGACACAATCGTTGAAATGATATTAAGAATATCTCGGAGTTGGAGGGGTATTTGATAAAGAAATACTGAAGAAGACTTAACTTCCCAGCTTGTATATTTCTGTGTAGTTATTAAACATGTAAAGGTTTCATACATAAATCAATATTTTGAATTGATTAATGATGAACTTTTAGAATTGTAACGTTGTACAGACTCCAAAAGGTCTCTCCCCATCATCCTCAACAATCATGTAGTCGTACTTCATGTTGAAATCAAGAGGGTACTCTGTTGAATATTCATGATAAAATATTGAATTAACAATGTCAAACAAGTACATTGTACTTAAATGTTAGCCTATGTAGGTCTCCAGGGCCTAGTAACCATAACGATTCCTTATAGATCTATCTCACATAGATCACATTATTTCTTGTGTAGAAGACAAATCTATCTGTGCACTTTTTATGTTTGGATGTGTTTGAGTAAACTGATTTGCAGAGACTATCTATAATTCATTAGTTTTTAGATAGTAGGTTTCAGATAAAAAGGTGCAAATTAGGTGCTGACAGTAAACACTGCATACATGTTGGGCAATAGATAACATTTACACCACCAAGATATATCCTTGATGTGACTAAGATTATCCTTGTTGTGACTAAAATTATCCTTGTTATGACTGAGATTATCTGTGTTGTGACTGAGATTATTTCTGTTGTGACTAAGATTATCTGTGTTGTGACCAAGATTATCCTTGTTGTGACTAAGATTATCTGTGTTGTGGCCAAGATTATCTGTGTTGTGACTAAGATTATCTGTGATGTGACTAAGATTATCCTTGTTTTGACCAAGATTATCCTTGTTGTGACTAAGATTATCTGTGTTGTGACTAAGATTGTCCTTGTTGTGACCAAGATTATCCTTGTTGTGACTAAGATCATCCTTGTTTTGACCAAGATTATCTGTGTTGTGACTAAGATTGTCCTTGTTGTGACTAAGATTATCTGTGTTGTGACCAAGATTATCCTTGTTGTGACTAAGATTATCCTTGTTGTGACTAAGATTGTCCTTGTTGTGACCAAGATTGTCCTTCTTCTGACAAAGAATATCTCTGTTGTGACCAAGATTGTCCTTGTTCTGACCAATGTTATCCTTGTTGTGACTAAGATTATCTGTGTTGTGACCAAGATTATCCTTGTTGTGACCAAGATTATCCTTGTTGTGACTAAGATTATCTGTGTTGTGACTAAGATTATCCTTGTTGTGACTAAGATTATCTGTGTTGTGACTGAGATTATCTGTGTTGTGACTAAGATTATCCTTGTTGTGACTAAGATTATCTGTGTTGTGACCAAGATTGTCCTTGTGACTAAGATTATCTGTGTTGTGACTAAGATTATCTGTGTTGTGACTGAGATTATCTATGTTGTGACTAAGATTATCCTTGTTGTGACTAAGATTATCTGTGTTGTGACCAAGATTATCCTTGTTGTGACTAAGATTATCCTTCTTCTGACAAAGAATATCTCTGTTGTGACCAAGATTGTCCTTGTTCTGACCAATGTTATCCTTGTTGTGACTAAGATTATCTGTGTTGTGACCAAGATTATCCTTGTTCTGACCAATGTTATCCTTGTTGTGACTAAGATTATCTGTGTTGTGACCAAGATTATCCTTGTTGTGACTAAGATTATCTGTGTTGTGACCAAGATTATCCTTGTTGTGACTAAGATTATCCTTGTTGTGACTAAGATTTTCTGTGTTGTGACTGAGATTATCTGTGTTGTGACTGAGATTATTTCTGTTGTGACTGAGATTATCTGTGTTGTGACCAAGATTATCCTTGTTGTGACTAAGATTATCTGTGTTGTGACTAAGATTATCTGTGTTGTGACCAAGATTATCTGTGTTGTGACTAAGATTATCTGTGTTGTGACTAAGATTATCTGTGTTGTGACTAAGATTATCAAGATTATCTGTGTTGTGACTAAGATTATCTGTGTTGTGACCAAGATTATCCTTGTTGTGACTAAGATTATCTGTGTTGTGACTAAGATTGTCCTTGTTGTGACCAAGATTATCCTTGTTGTGACTAAGATTATCCTTGTTTTGACCAAGATTATCCTTGTTCTGACCAATGTTATCCTTGTTGTGACTAAGATTATCTGTGATGTGACTAAGATTGTCCTTGTTGTGACTAAGATTGTCCTTGTTGTGACTAAGATTATCTGTGTTGTGACCAAGATTATCCTTTTTCTGACCAATGTTATCCTTGTTGTGACTAAGATTATCTGTGTTGTGACTAAGATTATCCTTGTTTATCCACACACAAGTGTATTATTATTAACTACACAGCTGTTTCCCTCTATATTGTTAAGTTTTCTGTTTCAGACCAGAAGATTACACCATTTTAGAAGTACCTGTACAGGATGAAGAAATGACCATGGTGAGTTTGCCATGATACAATGTGTGTCTTACACTCAGGTACACTCATGAGTATTTAATGAAATAGAGATAATTTAAAAAAATAAATAAATGTTGTTGGAATTATTTTCAGTATTTGCCTGATCAATAGATGGTGTGATTGTCCAACCAATCAGAAAGCTTTGATTTTTAATGACATCAGGGCATGTTCATTATGAGGACAAACTGGTTTGCTGACACTTCAAAAGTAACATTTCAGACAGAAATCTGGACGGTCCTACAAATATTGATACAGTCCTCACTAGGCGTACTTAAAGCTCACTGGAGGCAAAATATGATCAGTAGGTCTCTAATTCATTAACAAACAACCCTGGTGCGAGTGATCAAACCTTTACGTGAAAATGACCCTAGTTTCAAAGGTTATCTTACCTTTCATTGTTTCTTTTGCCATTTGTTCAAATGATTGACATTGATAAACTTTCAAGGTCACAGAGGTCAAATGGATTAAAATCTTTAAATTACTTCTCAATAACCTATAAACACCAAGGCTTCTGATATTGACTCTGTAACATGTTGGGATGAAGGGCTCTCTAGTTTATTCAAGTGAATGACCTTGTCACATTTTCAAAGTTACAAGGGTCAAACATATTACAATTTTCAAATGACTTCATCTGATGAACCTAAAGACTAATGATATTTTCTGTGACATAATTATATGAAGGGCTACCAAGTTTATTCAAATGAATATTTCAGGCGCATAGCTTGTTGTTTTTATTTACTGTTAAATATTCTGAATCTGAACTATTTTCATCATGTATATGCCTACTTCTACTGTTGTTATATATATCTATCTTGAAAGTCAGATGGCTTTTAAGAGTCATGGGTGGCTTGAATTATTTCATTTCTGGTTCTTTGAAATATCTATCCTTTAATATGAAAAGAACTTGTTTTGAGTGACCAGTTTCTCCTTTCTCAAGAGAAATTTTACAAATATATGACAATGGCCAACATTGTATGATGGTTCTGACTTCTGTTAACTAATGTAAGGGATTTGTCCAAAATCATTGTCTGAACCATTCTCAAAATGAAATGCTTTAGATCAGGACAAATTCTTGTTAAACATTACTTCTTGAAATTATACAGCTCTGTAAAAGTACATTTTATTGCTGAGCTGATGATTTCATGATGGCATGAATATTTCCATTTCAAGAACTTGCTTTGTGACGCAATTGAAGCTATCTTACGATGTTTCAATATGCAGTTTAAGATGATCAGATTGAGTGTTTATGCAGAGTTTATAGCTGAAAGTAGAGATAGGATCGGGTTATTGAATGTGAATGCTTTACTTGGTAATAGAAAATGTGGCCAAAAGAATTAAAGACCGGCATATGTATTACTTGGTTATGACGAGAGAGGTTCGGTTTATTGACAGGAAATCTATATCTGGTGTAGAGGTGACACTGACGTCAATACATGTACAAGTCACAGTGACGCTGATGTCAGTATGTGAACCGGTCAGTATGTGCACATGTCACTGAGACACATGTCAGTATGTGTACATGTCACTGTGACACATGTCAGTATGTGAACAAGTCACTTTGACACATGTGAGTACGTGTACAGATCACTGAAACCCGAGACACATGTCAGTATGTGTACAGGTCACTGTGACACATGTCATTATGTGTACAAGTCACTGTGACACATGTCAGTATGCGAACAGGTCATTGTGACACATGTCAGTATGTGTACATGTCACTGTGACACATGTCAGTATGTGTACAGATCACTGAGACACATATCAGTATGTGTACAGATCACTGTGACACATGTCAGTATGTGTACAGATCACTGTGACACATGTCAGTATGTGTACAGGTAGCAGTGATACATGTCAGTATGTGTACAGATCACAATGTCAGTATTTGTACAGATCACTGTGACACATGTCAGTATGTGTACAAGTCACTGTGACACATGTCAGTATGCGAACAGGTCATTGTGACACATGTCAGTATGTGTACAGATCACTGTGACACATGTCAGTATGTGTACAAGTCACTGTGACACATGTGACTATGTGTACAGGTCACAGTGACACAGGTCAGTATGTGTACAGGTCATTGTGACACATGTCAGTATGTGTACATGTCACTGTGACACATGTCAGTATGTGTACAGGTCACTGTGATACATGTCAGTATGTGTACAGATCACTGTGACACATGTCAGTATGTGTACAGGTCACTGTGACACATGTCAGTATGTATACAGATCACTGTGACACATGTCAGTATGTGTACAGATCACTGTGACACATGTCAGTATGTGTACAGGTCACTGTGACACATGTCAGTATGTGTACAAATCACTGTGACACATGTCAGTATGTGTACATGTCACTGTGACACATGTCAGTATGTGTACATGTCACTGTGACACATGTCAGTATGTGTACAGGTCACAGTGACACATGTCAGTATGTGTACATGTCACTGTGATACATGTCAGTATGTGTACAGATCACTGTGACACATGTCAGTATGTGTACAGATCACTTTGACACATGTCAGTATGTGTACAGATCACTGTGACACATGTCAGTATGTGTACAGGTAGCTGTGATACATGTCAGTATGTATACAGATCACCATGTCAGTATTTGTACAGATCACTGTCAGTATGTGTACAGGTCACTGTGACACTGACACTATTATGGCTTGATGGTATACATATATTGATCCTGACTAACTCCCATAGAGCTGATGGACATGAACAAAAAGGGTTCAAATTGATTCAAATTCAAAAATCTTCTTCCCACACCTAGATATTGTAGAATTAAGTGCTCTTCATGGAAGTGTTTTAGGATGCTTTACCAAAATTGTGAATTTCATCGCCTCAGGGTCTCGCGTTTTCCACTGGGGAGAGGATACAGTTTACCATAGTTTAAATATTAATCCTGGCTCACCCCCACCCAGGGTCTCACATTGTTGATTTAACATTGGAAATAACTTTGTAAAAGTAAGTGGTTTAGGATGATAGTTGTGATGGTATGCTGGCTGGCCCCTAAGGGCTTAATAAACAGTAATATTTAGGGCTGGTAAGCCTCCTGTACTTAATTTTAACATTATCTGTAATGATCTCTGTGATGTAATACAGGACAGACATTTGAGTGTGTCTTTGTAATCAAAGCTATATGGATATATTTAACAATTCTGACAAATATTGTTAATGTCCATGAAGTCTATGATACTACATTGAGATAGAAGTTTTAATTCTCAGAAGACAATATCGTGTGGAGGCTATTTTACTAAATTGCTCCCCAATCCCAACTGATTCATCAAATTTTGCTATCCCCAACCCTGTTACAAAAGGCTCGACCACAATTATATGCACTTCAGAAATGCTCATGTCTACCAATTATTTCATTTCTTTAATTCTCAACGTTTTGAAAAATCTTGCAAATATGCATGTCTCTCCGTTGGGAATGTTTAACTTATGGAGGGAGTAACCATTCTAAACCTGTATTTACATTTGGCATGCAGTTTTGTTGTCAAAATTTTATGTAAGAAATATTTGTCATCCTAAAAATTTAATGATGTTTAATGGTTTTACTCAGCATGGCTGTTCAAAAACTTTGTGATTGCATAAAAGCATTTCCTACTATGACAGATCCTATAAATATACAAGATAGATTTGAGTGCTGCTGTTTACAGAGGGTAACATGCATGGTTAAAACATTGCTTTAAAATCCCAGCTCATTTAACTTGTGGATTTTAATGACAATCAGAAAAGTCTATGCAGACAACAGCCTATCTTGAAGTAAAGAGTTATTCTTTATGGGATAACTTTACTCTCACTGATTAGGGTATACTCCTACATATTAATGACTTACCTGAAAATGGACCTCTTTTTAAAGCTTAAAGACCTGGGTTCACACATTTTAATATACATTATATTGTTGTGTTAAATTATTGAATTTGGTATCTTAATGATTCTTATAAACAGTTGAGGATTTACATCTGTCATACAGTCTTACACCTGTCATACAGTTACACCTGTCATACAGTCTTACACCAGTCATACAGTCTTACACCTGTCATACAGTCTTACACCTGTCATACAGTTACACCTGTCATACAGTCTTACACCAGTCATACAGTCTTACACCTGTCATAGTCTTACACCTGTCATACAGTCTTATACCTGTCATACAGTTACACCTGTCATACAGTCTTACACCAGTCATACAGTCTTACACCTGTCATACAGTCTTACACCTGTCATACAGTTACACCTGTCATACAGTCTTATACCTGTCATACAGTCTTACACCTGTCATACAGTTACACCTGTCATACAGTCTTACACCAGTCATACAGTCTTACACCTGTCATACAGTCTTACACCTGTCATACAGTCTTACACCTGTCATACAGTTACACCTGTCATACAGTCTTACACCAGTCATACAGTCTTACACCTGTCATACAGTCTTACACCTGTCATACAGTCTTACACCTGTCTTACACCTGTCATATAGTCTTATACCTGTCATACAGTCTTATGCCTGTCATACAGTCTTACACCTGTCATACAGTCTTATACCTGTCATACAGTCTTACACCTGTCATAGTCTTACACCTGTCATACAGTCTTATACCTGTCATACAGTCTTACACCTGTCATACAGTCTTATACCTGTCATACAGTCTTACACCTGTCATACAGTCTTATACCTGTCATACAGTTACACCTGTCATACAGTCTTACACCAGTCATACAGTCTTACACCTGTCATACAGTCTTACACCTGTCATACAGTTACACCTGTCATACAGTCTTACACCAGTCATACAGTCTTACACCTGTCATAGTCTTACACCTGTCATACAGTCTTATACCTGTCATACAGTTACACCTGTCATACAGTCTTACACCAGTCATACAGTCTTACACCTGTCATACAGTCTTACACCTGTCATACAGTTACACCTGTCATACAGTCTTATACCTGTCATACAGTCTTACACCTGTCATACAGTTACACCTGTCATACAGTCTTACACCAGTCATACAGTCTTACACCTGTCATACAGTCTTACACCTGTCATACAGTCTTACACCTGTCATACAGTCTGTATACAGTCTTACACCTGTCATACAGTCTTACACCTGTCATACAGTCTTACACCTGTCATACAGTCTTACACCTGTCACACCTGTCATAGTCTTATACCTGTCATACAGTCTTATGCCTGTCATACAGTCTTACACCTGTCATACAGTCTTATACCTGTCATACAGTCTTACACCTGTCATAGTCTTACACCTGTCATACAGTCTTATACCTGTCATACAGTCTTACACCTGTCATACAGTCTTATACCTGTCATACAGTCTTACACCTGTCATACAGTCTTATACCTGTCATACAGTCTTACACCTGTCATACAGTCTTACACCTGTCATACAGTCTTATACCTGTCATACAGTCTTACACCTGTCATACAGTCTTATACCTGTCATACAGTCTTACACCTGTCATACAGTCTTATACCTGTCATAGTCTTACACCTGTCATACAGTCTTACACCTGTCATATAGTCCTATACCTGTCATACAGTCTTACACCTGTCATACAGTCTTATACCTGTCATACAGTCTTACACCTGTCATACAGTCTTATACCTGTCATAGTCTTACACCTGTCATACAGTCTTACACCTGTCATACAGTCTTACACCTGTCATACAGTCTTACACCTGTCATACAGTCTTACACCTGTCATATAGTCCTATACCTGTCATACAGTCTTACACCTGTCATACAGTCTTATACCTGTCATACAGTCTTACACCTGTCATACAGTCTTATACCTGTCATAGTCTTACACCTGTCATACAGTCTTACACCTGTCATACAGTCTTACACCTGTCATACAGTCTTATACCTGTCATACAGTCTTACACCTGTCATACAGTCTTACACCTGTCATACAGTCTTATACCTGTCATAGTCTTACACCTGTCACACAGTCTTACACCTGTCATACAGTCTTACACCTGTCATATACTCCTATACCTGTCATACAGTCTTACACCTATCATACAGTCTTACACCTGTCATACAGTCTTACACCTGTCATATAGTCTTATACCTGTCATACAGTCTTACACCTGTCATAGTCTTACACCTCTCATACAGTCTTACACCTGTCATACAGTCTTACACCTGTCATAGTCTTACACCTGTCATACAGTCTTATACCTGTCATACAGTCTTACACCTGTCATACAGTCTTATACCTGTCATACAGTCTTACACCTGTCATACAGTCTTATACCTGTCATACAGTCTTATACCTGTCATACAGTCTTACACCTGTCATACAGTCTTATACCTGTCATAGTCTTACACCTGTCATACAGTCTTACACCTGTCATACAGTCTTACACCTGTCATACAGTCTTATACCTGTCATACAGTCTTACACCTGTCATACAGTCTTACACCTGTCATACAGTCTTATACCTGTCATAGTCTTACACCTGTCATACAGTCTTATACCTGCCATAGTCTTACACCTGTCATACAGTCTTACACCTGTCATACAGTCTTACACCTGTCATACAGTCTTATACCTGTCATACAGTCTTACACCTGTCATACAGTCTTACACCTGTCATACAGTCTTACACCTGTCATACAGTCTTACACCTGTCATACAGTCTTATACCTGTCATAGTCTTACACCTGTCATACAGTCTTACACCTGTCATATAGTCCTATACCTGTCATACAGTCTTACACCTGTCATACAGTCTTACACCTGTCATACAGTCTTACACCTGTCATAGTCTTACACCTGTCATACAGTCTTACACCTGTCATATAGTCCTATACCTGTCATACAGTCTTACACCTGTCATACAGTCTTACACCTGTCATATAGTCTTATACCTGTCATACAGTCTTACACCTGTCATAGTCTTACACCTCTCATACAGTCTTACACCTGTCATACAGTCGTACACCTGTCATATAGTCCTATACCTGTCATACAGTCTTATACCTGTCATAGTCTTACACTGTCATACAGTCTTACACCTGTCATATAGTCCTATACCTGTCATACAGTCTTACACCTGTCATACAGTCTTACACCTGTCATATAGTCTTATACCTGTCATACAGTCTTACACCTGTCATAGTCTTACACCTGTCATATAGTCTTACACCTGTCATACAGTCTTACACCTGTCATATAGTCTTATACCTGTCATACAGTCTTACACCTGTCATATAGTCCTATACCTGTCATACAGTCTTACACCTATCATACAATCTTGTACCAGTAAATAAAGGTATTTGCACCTTCCATACAGTTTCATACCTTTAGAAATGAGTTCGATTGGATTTTTTTACAAAGTAAACCTTATGTTGCAAGATTTATCGTAGAAGCTGTTTACTGGATTTTTTTTACAGATTTATAGGTATAATATAAGGCCTGGCTATAAGTGCTCTTAACAAATTAATTTCTACCTCAAAGACAGAGTTATATATATATATCATTATCTTTTCTCACCTTTTGCCTTTTGAATTTCAGGACAGTGTGTCACGTGAGGTGGAATCAATGCAAGGTAATCAGATCTACAAGTAATTAATGATATCTCTGTGTATATAAGGTGACACAACGTTTGTCACACGCTTCTATGTCTGTAGGTATCAAAGTTCAACTTCAATTAAAAGTTGGATTTAAGGACAGATAATTCAATGTAAAGAATGCCTTGTAAGAGGTCAATGTCTGTAGAGATAGAATTATAAATGTTTCTGAGAGAAGACACTAAATTGGTCTAACCTTTGTTTCTGTGTTACAGAAGTGTCTGAGGTACCTACAAAGTGTGTGTCTGCCACGGTCACACTCGACATCAATGCCAACATACAGTACATCGACTTTGAGGGCCGGTCGGATGGGGAGTCCATTAAAAAAATCCTTAGTCAGATTAAACCAAGGCAGCTGGTAAGTCAGTGCAGTGACATGGACTTACTGATACTACCAGTACTGCAATGATAAGCCAAGGCCTCAACCCTTCTCCATCTTTTTAAACAAGTTGATAACACTTTCCAATGTCAGATTTGTAATGATACTCCAGATAATTATATACAGTTTTTTTTCTGTAAAAAGTCAGGAAGTAAAGAAAAGATGCTGTGACCAAGCCCTGTCCTATATTCTGACCTTTCTAGATTTGTACAACCATTATGATGGTTTCCATCTGGACTTTTTTTTGCTATTGGTGACTTCCTGTTTAAATGTTAAAACACTTGCTATCTACTTTTGTGACCTGAACATTTCAGGAAACCATGTACATATATTTGAAATAGCTAATGCCTTTTAAAATCTGATGATAAAGACCTTGTCCTCCAGATACTCGTACGAGCTGTGTCCGAGGCTACTGAAGCCCTAGCAGACTACTGTCGCAAACTAGAGGGCATGGTTCAGGGCAAGATCTTTTCTCCAAAAGTGGGTGATGTTGTGGATGTAACCAGGGAAAGCCACATCTACCAGGTATGGTAACCATGGAATCGGGAGCCATTGTAAGACAAACTGTGCTAATATTATCTCTATGGTAATCGTACACATCTAATTTATGTTTGATGTACACTGTTTCAGTATAAGAATGTATAATAATCGTTCGCAATTTGGATTCCTTCTATTTTGAATTAACTTTTTATTTTAGAAATGAATATCTCAACTAGTGATACCATAACATTTCTTTTGGCAATAGTGTTCACGTAGATTAGACAACTAGGGTGCTGCAGTAACGCAGTCGGTAATACAGACTGACATGACCTGCGGCAAAGATCCGAAGTGCATCATTTGACACTTTTTACCTTTGGCAGATTGTGTTTCTCAGGAAGCTGAGAAATAGACTTTGCTGTTGTGTCCGAGGGCACTTTACCGTAATTGCACTGTGATGGGCCTTCCTTTTGTTGTTCAGTGAGGTAGCCACCTCTTAGTAACAAAGAGACACTGCCTCAGATTATCCTAGCTGTTTACGGGGTGATAAACCCAGAAGAAACAAACTTCTGGGAGATACTAAATTTGGCTGCTCCATCTCAGTCTCCACATGGATACTGATACATTCCTACATAACATATATGATGGAGGTGTTACATGAAATATCAGTTGGTTGCTTTCATAACCTGAAACCTTACATGTTTTGCCAGCACACTCATAGCCTCAGTAATTGTGATTGTGTGTAAAGATTTGTCCTCCACATCTCTACCACCTTGTGTGGCCTCTTTTCTATTAATTTATAGTACACTGATTAAAAAGCTATTAATATATGTTTTCTCAGTCCTGTTAGTAATACATTTTGTACACTGGGTGCTTATAAGGTAATATATTGTGTTCATCTATTTGTGATAATAAGTGTTACATAGGTTGTCTGAAAATTGTTTGGGTTCCTTCATCATAATAATAATTATCAGCTGTAGAAATAAGATATTGATTACGCAAAGGCAGTCATGATAAAAACCCTAAATATACCTGTATGATGAGGCATTCACTAGTTATCCAGTTCCTTAAGAGATTGATAAGTCAGTAGATTCTAAACCAATGTAGTGGTAGGACAGCCACTGTAGTGGTCTGAAATCTTACCTAGATAGTCAGGTAGTGACAGCCCTCTTTCGTTTGAGAAGGACAGCCACTGTCGTGGTCTGAAATCTTACCTAGATAGTCAGGTAGTGCCAGCCCTCTCTCCTTTGAGAAGGACAGCCACTGTCGTGGTCTGAAATCTTACCTAGATAGTCAGGTAGTGACAGCCCTCTCTCCTTTGAGAAGGACAGCCACTGTCGTGGTCTGAAATCTTACCTAGATAGTCAGGTAGTGACAGCCCTCTTCCCTTTGAGAAGGACAGCCACTGTAGTGGTCTGAAATCTTACCTAGATAGTCAGGTAGTGACAGCCCTCTTTCCTTTGAGAAGGACAGCCACTGTCGTGGTCTGAAATCTTACCTAGATAATCAGGTAGTGACAGCCCTCTTCCCTTTGAGAAGGACAGCCACTGTCGTGGTCTGAAATCTTACCTAGATAGTCAGGTAGTGACAGCCCTCTTCCCTTTGAGAAGGACAGCCACTGTCGTGGTCTGAAATCTTACCTAGATAGTCAGGTAGTGACAGCCCTCTTCCCTTTGAGAAGGACAGCCACTGTCATGGTCTGCCACTGTGACAGCCCTGTAGTGGTCTTCTTACCTTTCAGGTAGAGAAGGACTCTGAAATCTTACCTAGATAGTCAGGTAGTGACAGCCCTCTTCCCTTTGAGAAGGACAGCCACTGTAGTGGTCTGAAATCTTACCTAGATAGTCAGGTAGTGACAGCCCTCTTCCCTTTGAGAAGGACAGCCACTGTCGTGGTCTGAAATCTTACCTAGATAATCAGGTAGTGACAGCCACTGTAGTGGTCTGAAATCTTACCTAGATAATCAGGTAGTGACAGCCCTCTTTCCTTTGAGAAGGACAGCCACTGTCATGGTCTGAAATCTTACCTAGATAATCAGGTAGTGACAGCCACTGTAGTGGTCTGAAATCTTACCTAGATAATCAGGTAGTGACAGCCCTCTTCCCTTTGAGAAGGACAGCCACTGTAGTGGTCTGAAATCTTACCTAGATAATCAGGTAGTGACAGCCCTCTTCCCTTTGAGAAGAAAGAGTTTGATTCCCATATCGCCAACATCCCCAGAGTGTTTCCTTCCAAACCAAGACAGATTGATATCAGCTGATATTACTTATTTCATCAAAGTTTTGAAAATAATTTCATTTACTAAAATGCAATTAGATGAAAACACATGATATATGTGAAGTGTTATATTGAGCAATCATAAGCAATTTTCATCATTTGTAATTGTTCTATAGATATAATCATGGATGAATTGAAATTCATTCAATGCACCCGCCTGAATATTGTCAGTGCCTCCTTTCTATCGAATCAGATAAACATTTTCTCTCAAATTAGATCTATCTCACTCAATTTGTGAGCAGAATGATTAATTTTATACATAAATCATACTTAGTGGTAATTACTTGTGAAGATATTAATCACACAAAAAGTCTTGTTTGTTGTATTCTATATCAAACTGATTCAAAAATCAATTTTCACCCCTAAAACTGTTTCTTTTAACAAGTCGTTTTCCCACCAATCACAATATACCACATTATACCTAAAGGTAGTGAGTGCCCTGTTATGACAAAGCTTCATTAAACGGGCTTCAGATCAGCTTCCATACATTTGCAAACATGTCGTAATATTTTTGTTTTAAGTAGAACTTATATATTTGAGTGAAGTTCCTTAGCCTGAAATTAAGTGAGTCACATTGATCTTTTTTTTTTTTTAACACAAAATAATTACAAAATGTTATGAAGAGATGAAAATTATCAGTCAGAAATGTCCTTGCCCCCCTGATTACAGATCTATTGATAACTTAGCTTAGGTGAAGCTCTAAGGTACATAGTTCGACAATTCCCACTTATGGCGGATTTCGTTTCTCAAGAAGTTGAATCTTGTGCTGTATTGGTTGTGTTTGTTGGCAACAATGTTGTGGCCAATCACAACAGGCGAAGAGGTATTGTTCCTCAATTTATTGTTGTCAACCGGTTTCGCCCTCCCGGGCTTCCTCAAGACACACAAGTATATTTTAAGATGAATTAGCTAGCCTCCAAATTCTTCAAGAATCTGTCTCAATATAGGTTATGATGATGACATTTCTTGGTTCCAGTTAAGTTGATGTCATGATGTGAAGGTATAAACATCCTGTCTGTAGTCAAGGGATACATACCAACATGGCCACTAATAGGGTAATAAAGTTACATGATAACCAAATTTGTTTACAGGTAAGACTTAGGGACTATGTGGTCAGTGCACTGGACTTCCAGAAGGCTAAGGACACAGAACTGGCCTGGATAGAAGGCATGCTGGACATGAGTCAGGGGAAGACGGATACAAGCCCAATGTACGAGTTAGAGGATGGTGAAATGTCAGAGGAGGCAAGGGAGAGGAGACTACAGCAAGGTAAACACAGACTATGTGCAATATTACAGGGCCATTACAGGCTGTATATATAGGTCAGTATCACAGGACATAAGGTCAATACAAACTTCATACAGAATCAATATTACAGGCTGTATATATAGGTCAGTATCACAGGACATAAGGTCAATACAAACTTCATACAGAATCAATATTACAGGCTGTATATATAGGTCAGTATCACAGGAGATTTAAGGTCAATACAAACTTCATACAGAATCAATATTACAGGGCCATTACAGGCTGTATATATAGGTCAGTATCACAGGACATAAGGTCAATGCAAACTTTATACAGAATCAATATTACAGGGCCATTCAGTATCAATATTACAGGAATGTTACAGGCTGTATAAACAGGTCAGTCAGATCTTCTAATTAACTAAGATATTGGAATTCAATAGCATTTGATTCATATTTCATGTTTCTGTGTTTTTAGGTCACCTGAGCCTATTGTGACCTTTGCAATCATGTTTTGTCTGTTATGGTCCATTAACTTTTCACATTTACAGCTTCTTCTCAAGAACTTATGTTCACATTCCAACCAAACATGGTTACTGATTTATAAGCATCATTACCTGAAGGGGCATCAAAATTACAAAATTAGCCATCCCCATCCCCCTGGGATTCACAGGGCATTGCCAAAATGATGAAAAACATGTTAGTTTTAAATAAAATCTTCTGCTCTTCTCAGAGACATCAATGACATAAGTATGTAATATGATTGCAATGTCAGAGTAGATCTAGCAAAATTGCCAAATTCATCTCTGGATGTATCACTAAACCTCCAGGGATAAGACAATTTTAGGACAGCTAAACTACTGAAACAACAATAAAATGACCATTCATTTGAAGTTTTAAGAAGTCATGCAAAGATTTTATTTGCCTAGTTTTAAGGTCACTAGGTTAAAGGTCATCAACATGTAGAAGGACATATATCTGCCTATTTTCTCCAAATTCTTGAATGTTTTGTATAGACATGTATGTATATATGATAGTCATTTTAGGCAAAGTTTCAAGGTCACAGGGTCAAAAGTCACCTTTTTCTATAGGCATATACATTTCAAACATTACATTTTTATGTCACACTAATTACTGCTGGTATATCCTTAACTATGGTTTTATATGAGTGCCACATGCAGGGTGTTTATTGACTTGCTAGTTTTAATTTTGGAGGAAATTCGACTTCCCAAGTAGAAATACCTGTGGATGGGATCTATGTAGTTTGGTTTAGTAGAATAGTTAACTTTTAGACCTACATGTGAAACATATCATCCCTGAAATTTTATAGCTTTTAACACAAGTGAATGGATAATTAAGGCTTCAGATAATTTTGTGACACACAAATTGTTTTAAACAGAAGAGATATTTAAAAGCATGAGATGATATTAATTTAACTCATTAAGTTGTACAATAGGAACAAGTGGGGGAAGATAATGGAATACTTAGTAGAAAGTTCCATTAAGTGGCATAATAATTAAGGAAATTTATCATCTTTAAGTGAACTAGAAAAAAACAACATGAGAAGCGCTTCTTTATACAAGGGGACATAACTCTCCTTGATTTACAGTGAAAAAACTCAGATTCTACACAAGTTTGTAATAGATAAAATGATTACTATAACATTGTTTAATGGTCTAGGTTCTTGAGGGAAAGACAGATTCTTTAGATTATTTTTGTCTAATAGATTTAAATGAATATTTTGTTGTAAAAAGCGACAGCATTTCAAAGGAAACAGTGTTTAAAGATGTGTTCCAATTATAACTAACAATTAAGACTTCATTTCTACATTTATCGCGGAAGAAAACTTCTCTCTAGTGACAGTGTAGATGTTACCCTATACAGACATTCAGATCAATCTCTGTATTTATCTCTAAAGAAAACTTCACTCTAGTGACAATGTAGAGATTTCCCTATACAGACATTCAGATCAATCTCTGTATTTATCTCTAAAGAAAACTTCACTCTAGTGACAATGTAGAGATTTCCCTATACAGACATTCAGATCAATCTCTGTATTTATCTCTAAAGAAAACTTCACTCTAGTGACAATGTAGAGATTTCCCTATACAGACATTCAGATCAATCTCTGTATTTATCTCTAAAGAAAACTTCTCACTAGTAACAGTGTAGATGTTACCCTATACAGACATTCAGATCAATCTCTGTATTTATCTCTAAAGAAAACTTCTCTATAGTGACAATGTAGATGTTTCCCTATACTGACATGCAGATCACACTGTATTTATCTCTAAAGAAAACTTCTCGCTAGTGACCATGGAAACGTTTCCCTGTACCAACATGCAGATCAGTCTCTGTATTTATCTCTAAAGAAAACTTCTCTCTAGTGACCATAACGTTTCCCTGTACCAACATGCAGATCAAACTCTGTATTTATCTCTAAAGAAAACTTCTCTCTAGTGACCATAACGTTTCCCTGTACCAACATGCAGATCAAACTCTGTATTTATCTCTGAAGAAAATTTAAACATTATCCTTATTGCTGATAGTCAATCCCCTGACATTACCTCAGAGAATGTGGACAGAGAAATGACAAATGGCTAGGTTGTTCCTGTGGAGTATACTTTACTAGTTGGGTAAACATGCTAGGAGGACATTGAGACAACAAGCTAGGTAATGTAATGGTATTAAGTAATGGTCAAATTTAATACATATATAACCACTAATGGCCAACACAAGATGTATTAGAAACCTGTAGTCTGCACTTGTTGCTGTATTAAAGGCACTTGTGTATGTTTTATCTTAAATTATCAAAGGTTTGCATGTACTTCTTATTACAAATGAATAATATTACTGTTTGAAAGTGGAGATAATTACGGAGACGTTGTTTGAAGTGGTAATTATATGGGTGTTGTTGGGCCTGTGAGAATGAATTAAGTTGTACCCTTACCTGTTTTATATCATATCCAATTTTAATTTTGTGGGATGGAACCGATAGAGTTAAGGATGAAGAGGATACATGTCTCTTACGGGACTTTTAATTTGATTATTTTGTAAGCTTTTCCATCTATTTCATGTCTTATGGATGATTAAAATGTGGAGGAGATTTGATAGATTTGGGGGCTAAAGTGCTTCACAGTTCTTGTCTTTACTTTGTTGTGTACATGTATGTGATATTACTATTAAATGCAGCGCATGATCATCTGGAGTGGCAAGTGATCGAAAGATAATCACAGCCCCCATGAACCCCCACTGGCCCTTACAACCCCAAAACCCCCTTACCCTATCCCTCCCCCCACTGTCCCTTACAAACCCCTATGCCCCCTCCCCCCATCCCCTCCCCCATTGCCCCTTACAATCTTTATTGCTCCTTCACAACATCCCCCACTGCCCCTTATGCCCCCTCCCCCTACATCCCTCCCCCATCCCCCCCCCCATGCCCCTTTCAACCCCTACACCCCCTGCCCCATCCCCTCCCCCCACTGCCCCTTACAACCCCTACACCCCCTCATCCCTCACCCCTCCCCCACTGCCCCTTACCCCTTTCCCCCATCCCCTCCCCTACTGCCCCTTACAACCCCTACTTCCCTATCCCCCACTGCCCCTTACACCCTAACATCCCCTCCCCTACTGCCCCTTACAACCCCTACACCCCCTCATCCCTCACCCCTCCCCCACTGCCCCTTACAAACCCTACACCCCCTTCCCCATCCCCTCCCCTACTGCCCCTTACAACCCCTACACCCCCTCATCCCTCACCCCTCCCCTATCCTCCCATCTCCAATAATGAAACTTAATGTATACATTGGTCATACTATGATAATGTACAGGGTTCTACATTTTTAGCCCACAATCCATTAATTACAGAGTTATTGCCCTTTGTTCAAATTTTGTGATCAGTAAAGTAATTTTCAGTAAGCACTAATCAGTTTCACTGATACTTACTTTTAGACAAGAAGACTTCATGTCTCTTATTGTTTTCTATCTGTTTATACAGAGAAGGATGATGAGGAGGAAAAAGCAATGGACATTGTGCCTACCCTGGAGTCGGTTCAACCACACCAAATAGAAGGACATAAAGCTGTATTCGTCAATGAACCTAAGCTCTCTGACTTCAAACTGGTTCTACTACAGGAAGGCTTCCAGGCCGAGTTTATTGCAGGGGTCCTGATCTGTAACAGTAGTGTGGCTGTCAAAAGGGTAGGTAACCATTATAATGAAACAATGTTACAATGATGTAGCCATCAAAATAACATAATTATAGCAAAGTTATTTGTCACAGCACAGTAGTCTGACTGTTAAAGGTGTCCTTTGTCATCTGTAACAGTAGTGTGACCATCAAAATGGTAGACAAATATTTAACAGTAGTGTGCCCATCTAAATGGTAGACAAACTTTGTATCGTTGTTTAGCAAAGTTAACGACACCAGGGCAAGACAAAGGTTAATGTGTAATCTTGTGATAATGGGAAATGTTGAAGAGCAGACATTTTAGTGAATTCACTTATAACTTTTAACATTTTGGCATATCCTGTGAGACTATAGTTTGAAAAAATACTTTCTTTTATGCCAATTACAAAAAATATGTAGAAACGAAAAATGAATTCATGTAAATGCCAGAGAACATTAAGGGATGAGGACACTCATTCTGTGTGACATTTACAAGAACATAGGGGTAGCGAAATGGTAAAAAATGATTAAAGATCTTTTTTTTTTTGAAGATAAATGCCTGATGTACATGATGTTTCTGTAATGATCCTCAGGATATTATCAAATGGCTCTCTTATATTTGCACCTGATCACTACAGAGTCGGACATGTATGTGACGAGTAGGCTAATAAAGCTCAGTCAGTAAAGGGTAGAACCACATAATGTAAGGTGTAGCTTAGAGGGATATAGTCTGATGCTCCCTACCTGTGGCAGTTTATGTGGCTCAGGCAGCTGAGAAATCCTCTCGTCTCTGCTGTCATTGTTATTCCCTTTTCCAAGACACTTTACCCTTTTTTGGCATTTGATAGGCCTCCCTTATGTTGAAAGTACAGCTGACATTAGGACTGAGACAATGTTATGTCTGTAGGAGAATGAGAGAGTACAACTGACATTAGGATTAAGGCAATGTTATGTCTATAGGGGGATGAGAGAGTACAACTGACATTAGGAGTGAGGCAATGTTATGTCTGTAGGGAGATGAGAGAGTACAACTGACATTAGGAGTGAGGCAATGCTATGTCTGTAGGGGATGAGAGAGTACAACTGACATTAGGGTTGAGGCAATGTTATGTCTGTAGGGGGATGAGAGAGTACAACTGACATTAGGGTTGAGGCAATGTTATGTCTGTAGGGGGATGAGAGAGTACAACTGACGTTAGGGTTGAGGCAATGTTATGTCTGTAGGGGGATGAGAGAGTACAACTGACGTTAGGGTTGAGGCAATGTTATGTCTGTAGGGGGATGAGAGAGTACAACTGACGTTAGGGTTGAGGCAATGTTATGTCTGTAGGGGGATGAGAGAGTAAAACTGACATTAGGGTTGAGGCAATGTTATGTCTGTAGGAGAATGAGAGAGTACAACTGACATTAGGATTAAGGCAATGCTATGTCTGTAGGGGGATGAGAGAGTACAACTGACATTAGGGTTGAGGCAATGTTATGTCTGTAGGGGGATGAGAGAGTACAACTGACATTAGGGTTGAGGCAATGTTATGTCTGTAGGGGGATGAGAGAGTACAACTGACATTAGGGTTGAGGCAATGTTATGTCTGTAGGGGGATGAGAGAGTACAACTGACATTAGGGTTGAGGCAATGTTATGTCTGTAGGGGGATGAGAGAGTACAACTGACATTAGGAGTGAGGCAATGTTATGTCTGTAGGGGGATGAGAAAGTACAACTGACGTTAGGGTCGAGGCAATGTTATGTCTGTAGGGGGATGAGAAAGTACAACTGACGTTAGGGTTGAGGCAATGTTATGTCTGTAGGGGGATGAGAGAGTACAACTGACGTTAGGGTTGAGGCAATGTTATGTCTGTAGGGGAATGAGAGAGTACAGCTGACGTTAGGGTTGAGGCAATGTTATGTCTGTAGGGGGATGAGAGAGTACAACTGACGTTAGGGTTGAGTCAATGTTATGTCTGTAGGGGAATGAGAGAGTACAGCTGACGTTAGGGTTGAGGCAATGTTATGTCTGTAGGGGAATGAGAGAGTACAGCTGACGTTAGGGTTGAGGCAATGTTATGTCTGTAGGGAGATGAGAGAGTACAACTGACGTTAGGGTTGAGGCAATGTTATGTCTGTAGGGAGATGAGAGAGTACAACTGACAATAGAATTGAGGCAATGTTATGTCTGTAGGGGAAGGAGAGAGTACAACTGACGTTAGGGTTGAGGCAATGTTATGTCTGTAGGGGAATGAGAGAGTACAAATTAAGATAGAGTAAGGGAATCTCATTAAGACGGAGATGGATGTTTGTTTCTAATCGTTAGGTGGTCAGATCCATCATTTTCCATGTTAGATCCAAATACATTACATTTATTACTCATGTCAACAAGGAGTTCCGCCTGACAGCCAGAAGTTCTGTCTGTCAGCGAGAAGTTCTGTCTGTCAGCCAGAAGTTCTGTCTGTCAGTGAGAAGTTCTGTCTGTCAACAAGGAGTTCCGCCTGTCAGCCAGAAGTTCTGTCTGTCAGCCAGAAGTTCTGTCTGTCAGTGAGAAGTTCTGTCTGTCAACAAGGAGTTCCACCTGTCAGCCAGAAGTTCTGTCTGTCAACAAGGAGTTCAGCCTGTCAGCCAGAAGTTCTGTCTGTCAGCGTGAAGTTCTGTCTGTCAGCCAGAAGTTCTGTCTGTCAGTGAGAAGTTCTGTCTGTCAGCCAGAAGTTCTGTCTGTCAACAAGGAGTTCCGCCTGTCAGCCAGAAGTTCTGTCTGTCAGCGAGAAGTTCTGTCTGTCAGCCAGAAGTTCTGTCTGTCAGCGAGAAGTTCTGTCTGTCAGCCAGAAGTTCTGTCTGTCAGCGAGAAGTTCTGTCTGTCAGCGAGAAGTTCTGTCTGTCAGCCAGAAGTTCTGTCTGTCAACAAGGAGTTCTGCCTGTCAACCAGAAGTTCTGTCTGTCAGCGAGAAGTTCTGTCTGTCAACAAGGAGTTCCGCCTGTCTGCCAGAAGTTCTGTCTGTCAGCGAGAAGTTCTGCCTGTCAGCCAGAAGTTCTGTCTGTCAACAAGGAGTTCCGCCTGTCAGCCAGAAGTTCTGTCTGTGAGTGGCAGTCTGATGGTTTTTTGGTTGAAGTGAAATTGTCAAAATTTAATTTACTGCTTCAGTAAGTGGTCTTTTGGGGCTTGTTTTTACAAGTGTTTGATTCTGTCTCTTTGATAATGAGGATTTTAATTGAATTTTACTGAAATGAATCAAAAGTTTTCCATTGAAGATAGCTTGATTACTCACCTAACTCAAATATTGTAATTGAATTATTTTTTGCTTTGAAATGAAAGTGAATCCTTTTCTTCAGTATCATTCTTTAATTTGTGTATAGAATCACAGAGTACCTGTGTTGTTGTCATTATTCAGGTCTTTAACTAAGCTAATAACACCTTCACAACATGATCAATTTAAGGTTGCTTTTAATTCCTTCCACGTATTCCTGTGGTAGATACACATTCTTATAGTATTAAAGTCTGTTTATATTTATGCTATCAAGAAAACTGTGTATTTCTGTAGAATATTGATGCATGTTGGTCGTAAATATCAATCAATTTCATGGAAATGTACAGTGTGGGTGTATTTCCCATCACAGTGTGGGTGTATTTCCCATCACAATGTGGGTTTATTTCCCATCACAGTGTGGGTGTATTTCCCATCACAATGTGGGTTTATTTCCCATCACAGTGTGGGTGTATTTCCCATCACAGTGTGGTTGTATTTCCCATCACAGTGTGGTTGTATTTCCCATCACAGTGTGGGTGTATTTTCCCTCTGTAGACAGGTATACATTATTGTTAATTTTCCCTCTGTAGACAGGTATACATTATTGTTAATTTTCCCTCTGTAGACAGTTATACATTTATTGTTAATTTTCCCTCTGTAGACAGGTATACATTTATTGTTAATTTTCCCTCTGTAGACAGGTATACATTATTGTTAATTTTCCCTCTGTAGACAGGTATTTTACTTTCTGTAGACATGTACATTTATTGTTAATTTTCCCTCTGTAGACAGGTATACATTTATTGTTAATATTCCCTCTGTAGACAGGTATACATTTATTGTTAATTTTCCCTCTGTAGACAGGTATACATTATTGTTAATTTTCCCTCTGTAGACAGGTATACATTTATTGTTAATTTTCCCTCTGTAGACAGGTATACATTTATTGTTAATTTTCCCTCTATAGACAGGTATTTTACTTTCTGTAGACGTGTACATTTATTGTTAATTTTCCCTCTGTAGACAGGTATACATTTATTGTTAATTTTCCCTCTGTAGACAGGTATACATTTATTGTTAATTTTCCCTCTGTAGACAGGTATACATTTATTGTTAATTTTCCCTCTGTAGACAGGTATACATTTATTGTTAATTTTCCCTCTGTAGACAGGTATACATTATTGTTAATTTTCCCTCTGTAGACAGGTATTTTACTTTCTGTAGACGTGTACATTTCTTGTTTATTTTCCTTTGATCTAAGTCTATATAGTGTATTTATTTTGTTATCTTTTACTTTTTCAGAATGAAGCTGGCAAAATTCAGCTGGAGGGTTCAATATGTGAAGACTTTTACAAAATACGTGAACTGTTGTATAGCCAGTATGCTGTTGTGTAGACCTAAAATCATCATTTAGTCTTCAATGAACAATCATTACATTTTCGTTTCATCAAAACATCAATATGTCATGGAATTTGACAGTCAGTGAATATCTTTATCTTCAATACATCACTATTGCAAACTGTCCGTGAGTGATGTTTTAATTGGTCATGGAGTTGGACAGTCACTTAACACTTTCATTTTCAGAATGTCATTGTATTGAACAGAAGTGGTGTTCATTTCATCAAGACATGAAATGTCGTGGAGTTTGGCAGTTAGTAAACTCTTCAATCTTTAATTCATCATGATTTCATTTCACCAAGGTAAAGAACTGAGAAAACATTGGTATTATATCAATATAACTGCATCTTTATTGAGGTTACTAGTCAGTTGTTCTGTAGGTTATATAAGTAAGCACTGGAAACCATATTATATGGTCCTGTAGATAGATCTGAACTATAAGAACAATTTTACAAACCTCTTATCAGTAGAGGGCATTGGCTAAGTGTAGATGTTTAGTTAAACATCAGATTGGTCTTCCTTTCCAATTCTTTACCCAGTTTCACTCACAAATAGTCATTCCAATTTGTCCATCAAAATATCAAAAAGTGAATTTATCCATGAAATTTCTGAAAAGTTTTTGAATGTGAAATCCGTTCTCTTCACTTGTATGATAAACAGTTATAAACAAGTTAGACTCCATGCCATTGGAGAGGGGGGATGTCAGTTTAATTATCATGTGACCTGTTGATTTTAAAACATTTGTTTTATTGGTAAAACCATCTCACCGTGAGTTGTAATTGTATACATTGTCATTGTGTTGTTGTTACTCCATTAAAACTCAGCAGTCAAAAGTGGCTCTTGTGTTTGTGTTGTTACTCCATTAAAACTCAGCAGTCAAAAGTGGGTCTTGTGTTTGTGTTGTTACTCCATTAAAACTCAGCAGTCAAAAGTGGGTCTTGTGTTTGTGTTGTTACTCCATTAAAACTCAGCAGTCAAAAGTGGGTCTTGTGTTCATGTTGTTACTTCATTAAAACTCAGCAGTCAAAAGTGGGTCTTGTGTTTGTGTTGTTACTCCATTAAAACTCAGCAGTCAAAAGTGGGTCTTGTGTTTGTGTTGTTACTCCATTAAAACTCAGCAGTCAAAAGTGGGTCTTGTGTTTGTGTTGTTACTCCATCAAAACTCAGCAGTCAAAAGTGGGTCTTGTGTTGTTGTTACTCCATTAAAACTCAGCAGTCAAAAGTGGGTCTTGTGTTTGTGTTGTTACTCCATTAAAACTCAGCAGTCAAAAGTGGGTCTTGTGTTGTTGTTACTCCATTAAAACTCAGCAGTCAAAAGTGGGTCAACATTGTTACTTTTAAAACTCAGCAGTCAAAAGTGTTGTTTGTTGTTACTTTAAAACTCAGCAGTCAAAAGTGGGTCATGTGTTTGTGTTGTTACTCCATTAAAACTAGAGTCAAAAGTGTGTGTTTGTGTTGTTATATCATCTCAAAAGTGGGTCTTGTGTTCATATTGTTACTTCATTAAAACTGTGTGTCAGTTAAAAGTCTCTGTGTTTGTGTTGTTATCCAGACAAAAGTGTGTGTCTGTGTGTTGTCTCTGTTAAAACTCAGAGTGATAGACAAGTGTGTGTCTGTATAATTTCTGTATAGGTACATTACATGATAGACAAAGGTGTTTGTCTGTATAATCTCTGTTAGTTCAGGTGATAGACAAAGGTGTGTTTCTGTATAATCTCTGTTAGTTCAGGTGATAGACAAAGGTGTTTGTCTCTGTATAATCTCTGTTAGTTCAGGTGATAGACAAGTGTGTGTCTGTATAATCTCTGTTAGTTCAGGTGATAGACAAAGGTGTTTGTATAATCTCTGTTAGTTCAGGTGATAGACAAAGGTGTTTGTCTGTATAATCTCTGTTAGTTCAGGTGATAGACAAAGGTGTGTGTCTGTATAATCTCTGTTAGTTCAGGTGATAGACAAAGGTGTGTGTCTGTATAATCTCTGTTGGTCCAGGTGATAGACAAGTGTGTGTCTGTATAATCTCTGTTAGTTCAGGTGATAGACAAAGGTGTTTGTCTGTATAATCTCTGTTATAATCTCTGTTAGTTCAGGTGATAGACAAAGGTGTGTGTCTGTATAATCTCTGTTGGTCCAGGTGATAGACAAAGGTGTTTGTATAATTTCTGTTAGTTCAGGTGATAGACAAAGGTGTGTGTCTGTATAATCTCTGTTGGTCCAGGTGATAGACTAAGGTGTGTGTCTGTATAATCTCTGTTGGTCCAGGTGATAGACAAATGTGTGTGTCTGTATAATCTCTGTTGGTTCAGGTGATAGACAAAGGTGTGTCTCTGTATAATCTCTGTTGGTCCAGGTGATAGACAAAGGTGTGTCTCTGTATAATTTCTGTTGGTCCAGGTGATAGACAAAGGTGTGTGTCTGTATAATCTCTGTTGGTCCAGGTGATAGACCTAGGTGTGTGTCTGTATAATCTCTGTTAGTTCAGGTGATAGACAAAGGTGTTTGTATAATTTCTGTTAGTTCAGGTGATAGACAAAGGTGTTTGTATAATCTCTGTTAGTTCAGGTGATAGACAAAGGTGTTTGTCTGTATAATTTCTGTTAGTTCAGGTGATAGACAAAGGTGTGTGTCTGTATAATCTCTGTTAGTTCAGGTGATAGACAAAGGTGTGTTTCTGTATAATCTCTGTTGGTCCAGGTGATAGACAAAGGTGTGTGTCTGTATAATCTCTGTTGGTCTAGGTGATAGACAAAGGTGTTTGTCTGTATAATCTCTGTTGGTCCAGGTGATAGACAAAGGTGTGTCTCTGTATAATCTCTGTTGGTCCAGGTGATAGACAAAGGTGTGTCTCTGCATAATTTCTGTTGGTCCAGGTGGTAGACAAATGTGTATGTCTGTATAATCTCTGTTGGTCCAGGTGTTAGACAAATGTGTGTCTGTATAATCTCTGTTAGTTCAGGTGATAGACAAAGGTGTTTGTATAATTTCTGTTAGTTCAGGTGATAGACAAAGGTGTTTGTCTGTATAATCTCTGTTAGTTCAGGTGATAGACAAAGGTGTGTGTCTGTATAATCTCTGTTAGTTCAGGTGATAGACAAATGTGTGTCTCTGTATAATCTCTGTTGGTCTAGGTGATAGACAAGTGTGTGTCTGTATAATCTCTGTTAGTTCAGGTGATAGACAAAGGTGTTTGTCTCTGTATAATCTCTGTTGGTCCAGGTGATAGACAAAGGTGTTTGTCTCTGTATAATCTCTGTTGGTCCAGGTGATAGACAAAGGTGTGTGTCTGTATAATCTCTGTTGGTCCAGGTGATAGACAAAGGTGTTTGTATAATTTCTGTTAGTTCAGGTGATAGACAAAGGTGTGTGTCTGTATAATCTCTCTTGGTCCAGGTGATAGACAAAGGTGTGTGTCTGTATAATCTCTGTTGGTCCAGGTGATAGACAAAGGTGTGTCTCTGCATAATTTCTGTTGGTCCAGGTGGTAGACAAATGTGTATGTCTGTATAATCTCTGTTGGTCCAGGTGATAGACAAAGGTGTGTCTCTGTATAATCTCTGTTGGTCCAGGTGATAGACAAAGGTGTGTCTCTGCATAATTTCTGTTGGTCCAGGTGGTAGACAAATGTGTATGTCTGTATAATCTCTGTTGGTCCAGGTGTTAGACAAATGTGTGTCTGTATAATCTCTGTTAGTTCAGGTGATAGACAAAGGTGTTTGTATAATTTCTGTTAGTTCAGGTGATAGACAAAGGTGTTTGTCTCTGTATAATCTCTGTTGGTCCAGGTGATAGACAAAGGTGTGTGTCTGTATAATCTCTGTTGGTCCAGGTGATAGACTAAGGTGTGTGTCTGTATAATCTCTGTTGGTCCAGGTGATAGACAAAGGTGTGTGTCTGTATAATCTCTGTTAGTTCAGGTGATAGACAAAGGTGTGTGTCTGTATAATCTCTGTTAGTTCAGGTGATAGACAAAGGTGTGTGTCTGTATGATCTCTGTTAGTTCAGGTGATAGACAAAGGTGTTTGTATAATTTCTGTTAGTTCAGGTGATAGACAAATGTGTGTCTCTGTATAATCTCTGTTGGTCCAGGTGATAGACAAAGGTGTGTGTCTGTATAATCTCTGTTGGTGTAGGTGATAGACAAATGTGTGTCTCTGTATAATCTCTGTTAGTTCAGGTGATAGACAAAGGTGTGTGTCTGTATAATCTCTGTTGGTGTAGGTGATAGACAAATGTGTGTCTCTGTATAATCTCTGTTAGTTCAGGTGATAGACAAAGGTGTGTGTCTGTATAATCTCTCTTGGTCCAGGTGATAGACAAAGGTGTGTGTCTGTATGATCTCTGTTAGTTCAGGTGATAAACAAAGGTGTGTTTCTGTATAATCTCTGTTGGTTCAGGTGATAGACAAAGGTGTGTCTGTATAATTTCTGTTGGTCCAGGTGATAGACAAAGGTGTGTTTCTGTATAATCTCTGTTGGTCCAGGTGATAGACAAATGTGTCTCTGTATAATCTCTGTTGGTTGAGACAAAACATTTGTGGTATTGTCTAAATACATTCTTTGTACACTCCAATTACATGATGAATTTGAATTTAAGTTTACAAACAGCAAAGCTTGTGAAAATAACACTTAGTATTAATACATTTTTATATTTTATATTTCATGTGTCAATAGTATAATTTTGGAAAGAAAAAATCAAAATGTAAATGACAATCCACGGCTGTCAAAAAAAGGCGATGAAGTACTTACATGTACATGAAAATCAAGTACCATGCCTTTGTGTAAATTCTACATAAAACAATATGCTTAACAGATGTACAAGTGTGTTTCACTGTTTTAGGAAATTATATCATGTGATTTATGCAGGAGTTGAAGAAAGGAATCTTTTGAGTCAAAAACAGAAGAGGAACAAATTAGTTTATTCTAAATTGAATATTGGCCAAATCTGTTCAGTGTGTAAAAGTTTAAATGCTTGATTTTACATCTAAATCTCTGTCGAAGTCAAGTTTCATTGTAACCATGATTCTAGGTCCATGTATAGGTAATAAGTAAGAGGGAAAAAATCTGCTGACATTTTCAACGATTTCAGTAACAAAGAGAAGTGAAATTTCAATTCAAAATTGAATGTACCGTAAAATTCCCAGATGAGCAATTTTCAGACATTGTGCAGGAAAAAACTTAATATAAGAAGTTGAACATTGGTTGTTACAATGACAAAGATAATTTGAAATTGTTGTGGTATAATTCCCTTGGGATTCACTGTAACCAGACATAACTTCTGAAAGGATTAGATTTTATTCAAACTAATGGATAGGAGATATACATTTATAACTGAACTTGGTGTGTTGCCAGATTTTTAATCTAACATTCAATCTACTGCTTGAAGGAGAAGATATATGTCTTTTGGCCATTTTCAAGGACATTACAGAAATTCTATTTACTGTATTATGGAAATGTGATTTGTTTTGTGCAGATTTTACGGTTAGAAATGAACTACGATTTCCTCAGTAGTATGTACAGAATTTTAAGAAAATAACACCAAACAAAATTTCAAGAGAAGACTTACTGTTCTTATGAATAATGTATTACAGGAATTCAAGGGTAAACGTGATGATAATACTTCCTACAAGTTGGACCTTTTTCAGAGTCACTCGCCCTTCATCGCCAGTTTTCAGAATTTCAATGTTAGATGTATAAGAGTTAAAATGACAGAAGATGACAATTCCTGTTTGTATTGGTTACCATGGATACGATCACCTCCTAAAGGCTACTTTGATGGAAGATGATGACAACCCCTGGTTACCATTTAAGACTTGTCTGTATTGGTTACCATGGATACGGTC